GATTAGGTTTAAAAAGAAGTAGAAAAGTGAAGACGTTTATCTAATGTGCAAACCTAGTCTATGGAATGATGAAATCCTAAAGTTGTAGGGAAGCCATGGCATGAAAGTGGACAGAATGACTAAGTCGAATAGAAATCGAAACCCACCTAGGAACCTAGCAGACACTCATGCAGTAGATAATGAACCACGTTTAGTGTGTGAGAGTTAATGATACTGTCTGCTTTCCTATATCACGGTAAGTGAAGCTGCATTTTGAATTCGTGGCCCATCAGTTGGAAGTGGAGTGCTCAGACCAAAGAGCGATAACTCGAGTTGTTTAAGTATTTATCTGGTGATATGTCTGGATTTTTCGCAGATATCCATCACAAAAAGTGTTGTAAGATCTGTTTTGAAGCAGTTTGTCTTGTGTATGATTGAATCATTAGTTACACAGGAAAAACCAAGGTTACAGATATATATTGAGGTGATTCAGAACAATAGCTTGCTCTTAGTATGGCTGGTAACTAGTAGTTGGTGGTAAAATATGACCCAACTGTCAGCTAGATAATATGTTCACATTTATTAGTCGCTCTAGAATGAACAATTTCCTGTTTTTTGGTCTACATTAGTGACTGAATTCTATCCATCATTATACAATGTGACCACTTAGCAACGCAGTCTGATAAATATTAGATAGTTGAACGGAATAGTCAGGTTAGTGCGTGTCATTTCTTGGCAGCCAGGTATGTCTGTGACGTTGAGGGCGCTGATGTCCACTCTCAGATTTGAACCTGTATCACCCACGTCTTGATGGTTTCCATTGTACGATAATTTTTAAAATCCATTTTTCTCTTTGAAAAACTTCGTTGCTGATTCAGCTTCATATTTTGTAATAAATATAAACATGATTAAGATGATTCGGAAGATGAATTAATTAGTCCAATAAGGGGATTTGATAGAGGTTTACCTCAATATTAGAAGATAAATAGGAGTACAAAACATGTTCTATACACTTTAAACTTAGTATATCTACATTATCTTCCCAGTCAGTTAAAATCGTCGATACTCGATGAACTTACATCGAAACAACACTAAGGAAACAGTAACAATAAAGAGAATGCCACCAGACGGATGAAAGGGATGGAAGATATAACTACTCAAAATAACATTAGGTATTTTTCAAAAACTAAGGTTTAAAAGTTGTTCGATGGAGTTGGAAATCTATGAATAAGGACAATAAATTGTTGCTTAGTGAAACAATAAGTAGTTTAAGAAAACTAACTTGGTTGTGTCAGGCAGTGGAATCCAGAGCGCATGTTTGATCTCATGTGGGACTCATCAACTGGATATACCTGTACCCCAGTGAGTGGTGTTGTTTCCACCGAGGCGATGAGTACGAGTTTCGAACAGCAGCAAGAACAACATAGATTCCTTTGCTAGCCATAATTAAAGAAATTTTCAAACTTAGTAATCGGGCAATATGGAGGCACTTGGTTGTATTGTATTCTCCCAGCTGGGTTGTTTAATCATACACAAAAAGCATTTCTAACAAACTACAGACATTCACCAACAGCTGCCACCTATGCTCACTCTATGCTGAAGATCAGGTGGCCATAAACAATAAGCAACAAGGAACTCTGGCTAGCTGGCAACGAAGCAACCAAGAACCCATCGCCCAACAGATATGCAGGAGAAAGTGGAGATGGGTTGGATTGGGGATACGCTGAGAAAACTATTTGCGGACATCACGCACTAGACCAGACCAGGCCCTTGAGTGGAACCCGTATGGTAAACAACGAGTTGGGCGTCCGAGAGTGATATGGTGTGAGGAATAAATGAAAGCTTGTGGGCAGTCGTGAACCTAAGTTAAAAGGACTACAGAGAACAGAGTGAAATGTAGATCTACTACTGAAGCTCTACATTCAACTAGGAACCCAAGGGACAAATAATAATAATATACAGGCATCCGCATAGGATCCTAAACGCTAGTAGAGGTTGAACAATTTGATGCAGTATACCAACGAAGAATCACAAGTATATCAACAAATAGTAATTAGTAATTTAGATTGGAATGTCATCAAAGCCAACAGTAAACAATAAAAAGAAATAAACTACGATTCACTAATCAGTCATATATGATCGTTGGTTTGAATTCTACTTCAAAACTACGCTGTTTCCCACCTACATTAATCATTTTCCTACACTAAAATCAGTCTACAAAACTAAAAGTATCACTTATATAGTTTATTCAAGAATGAAAAATTGTTTCTTTGCAGACATTTCAGGTATGTTTTGAGAAGTATATGCACTCGATTTTTGAATGTTTATTATTTCGTTCTATCATTCAACTGTGGATAATTTTTAATGAACAAATTTGTTAGCTACTGAAAGCTTTTAATTCATAGTGAGTATTAATGTTGTTTTATTCACTTATTCATTTACTGTTTGTGGTTTAAACGATTGTTAATCGGCAGAAACAGTGATCTTATTACTCGATTAGTTGATTGGAGTTCATTTATTGCGACATTTTATTTAAAGTCAGGAAAATAAATTGGATAGTGAAGGTAAAAGATATGTTTATACTCTTATACATCGTCCACTGCGACTCTTAAAGTGTAATTCACACCTTTTAAAAGCATCACTACATTAAGTTTTTCCCAGCTCGATGATGGTGCATAGTAGTATGTGTCAAGAAACTAACCAGGCCTAAGAAATTAATTCTGGATCCAGTATAAAAGTCCGAACCTAGGAAAAGCGTTTAGTCATATTTGGGACCAATCAGCTGGATATGCCTGCCTTTCAGTGAATGATTCTGTTTTCAGTAAGTCTCAAACCAGGAACTAAACTCTTAAAACACCATAATGCCGTGCATTCCTTTACTAGCTGTCAGTAGTATCAAAGTTGCATATGCGGGCAATATGGAGGCCTTCGCTTAGGACCCTATATTCCAGGAGTAACGGATCATTTCGGTCCAGTCTACGACAAAGATTCACAAATGATAACATGTGAATCCAATCATTTGAGTGTTTTTCACATTTTATGTAACCTTTATGAAAAAATATTAGTTTTACGGTTACATGTATGGTAATACGCAAAAATGCTTTCTATATACGATTATTGGGAAATTATTTTTCTTATCTTTCTTTCCGTCTCTTTATTTCTTAATTGCAGTTTAATATAGTCATACAAGCAGAAGAATGAATTATTTACTCTGAAAATATTCACGTTACCAATCGTTGAAATGAACCAGTTGAATAATGTATATTCGCAGACAAATGCGTGACAGTTTTAATAATGAATGTCTCTATTACTGCCATTTCTATGCAGAATCTTTCTCTCTCTGTCAATATATATATATATATATATATGATATACATGCACACAGCTGTCAACATGAAGCATATTGTACTCTACAAGACTTATCAACCTACAATTATTTGTCTTTTAATCGATAAAAGAAGTTAATAATGCATAAAAGTGTTATTCCACTTCACCCTTTCTGATAACTACTCTGTATTCTGAGGATAAATATAACTTAGCACTCATAGTGTCGCTTATAGAACAAGTACTTTCAAAGTGAAGCGTAAGGTTGGTTCACATTTGAGAAGACCGATTTGTTACAATGTAACTTGAAATGCTTAGAACAGAAATCTATGCGTAAACAAACTTTTCTGTTTGTCTTACACTTGAGAGAAGAGTATTCTTTGAAAAGGGCTTATTTAACACATAAGACTTTTTTCGCTGTCAGTAATGCGTAAACGTTGAGATGGTAAATGGTTTCATGCATAAACGATCTATAACGGTGAGAAAAAAATGGTCATTGAGGAAAAATTCAGTCAGAAAAACATTAACAAGCTTATCCTGAGCTATCACTTCGTAGGTTTGTATCTCATAATCATGTGAAACGCCTTATCAGTACCCACTACTCACAAAGAATCGTTGAATGGATATAAATATGTAGCAAAAATAACTTGGAGATGGAAATACTCTTCATGAAGGGCCTAGTTTCATTTATCATCTAAATCTGTCCAGTGAATATCACAATCAGATATTCAGTGGAATGGTTTGTCAGTTATCTAAGAGTTGCGTACATTCTTTTGTTTGAACCAACTTTATATGTAACTGGGACATTTTGATGAAAATGCACGTAAATGAATCAAAATTGTAACCTTTACTTAGACTATACGTTTTATAAAACTAGCGGTATCTGTAAAAGTTGTGTGAAGTAGTAAAGTAAATTTTTGAAGTTTCGCTTCCGTCCTCAAAAAAAGTAAACCTTTACAAGTTATTGTATATTTACGTATTAAATAAAGATAAATCAAAATACTTTGTTCATATATTCACCGAAACAAAAGTGATATGATGAGGCATTACATGTTATCAACATGAATTATTAATCATTACCTTGAACTTCCTGGTCAGTGATAACATTTAATTCCTTGTTTTGCTGTTTCTGTTTGTGTAGATGTATGGACAGTTTAATCTGATTTCTGTCCGTTTACCATTTGAACATACGGTAAATTGTACAAGTTTCATCCTCTGAAGAAACGGCAGTTATGAAGCTGTGAAATGTTATAAATTTACTTTTCCACTTCATTAGGATATTACAGTTGTGTTTAGTCTACAAAACTTTTATCCAATCCTGAGTAGTTTAACTTCTACTAGTATAAATTTCAATTTTGATGCTTACATATAAGCTCTAAGAAGATTTTAAAGGTAACAATCATTATTGGTCACCAATTTTATATGAAACCGTGTTGTAGTTTCTGCGTGTTCTCTTTGTGTTAAAGGTCAATAAGACTGACAGTATGACATTTATTTTATACTTTTTGACACTTGTAAGTAAAATGTATCTGTAAACTCCAGTTATTCAAAAGAACTAGTTTAGTACCAATACCCTTAATTCTGACTCTTTGTGATGCAATTTAATATCCCTTGAAGAAGAGTTAAAGTTGAAAAAACAGAGGTCTTTAGAAAAGTAAATACTTGGGTCAGAAATGATATCAACAAAAATAGCTAACCTGAGATTTCCACTCTCCAAGTTGCATTAAATTCACAATTTGTTTTCAATCTCTTCGTAGATATTTGTAGATCAGAATTCAGACGACCAACTGTATTATCTGAATGTTTACCATCGTTTCTTGCATTCATTTCTTCCTTGAATTTGCTATACTTTAATGGTTTAAATGTCAAACCATTTAAGCAAACAGCAGTATATAGGAGGGAATGATTTTTGTCTGTATGAATAGGTAATAACACAATGAAAATGAATTTTTGCAAAGTTTCTTGAGATGACAGTGTTTTGGGTCAGTGAGCTCAGGTAAGTTTATATTCATGATTATTTTAAAACATTTTACGTCTAGAGAAACCAACCACAAAATCTACTCATCTAGCAAAATATTTGGCATGTAATCATTGTCTAATAGTACTTGATTATCAGTGTTCAACCCTCAAGAGATGGCTACATTTTAGTTGAATATCAGCCTAAGCCTTTTATTTCACCTGAATCCATAAAGTCCATTGTAAAACTTAAGACGTCCTGGAAAAAGGAGCCTAATTTAGCATAGCCTCACTCTTGCCAATTAGTTTACGTTATATATATATATATATATATATATATATATATATATATATATATATATATATATATATAATATTTGATATACATGCACACAGCTGTCAACGTGAAGCATATTGTACTCTATAAGAGTTAACAACCTATAATTATTTTTCTTTCAACTAATAGAGAACTTGTTCATCAAAAACTTTCAACACGTCTTGTTCTTCTGAAAAGAATGAATAACTTAATATATTTTTATCTTGATAGGTTCGAATTTTCTGCATCTGTGTTCATAGAAAGCGGTTAAATAGGTTGTATTCTTTCTATATCCGACGATACAGAGCTTTCATTCATTCACTTCCTTCGTTAAAGATCTGAACTCATCATTTAAATTAATCGAAATTTACAAGCAACCTACGTTACCACAATATTTTTCTCGACACAATATATACTCAAACCAATATTTTCATATGCGACCATAGTTTTTTCTTCAGTTATTGTGGTTAGACGATAGTGGAATATGTAGGCTACAGTCTTTTTTAATTTATTTCTCATATACTCATATTTTATTCAGTAAATCCGTTCAAATTGACGGTTGTGTTAGACTGAAAAATGATTAAAAGAAGATAAATTTCGCTCACTTAGGTGGTTTATTTCACTGAATAATTATGAAACAAGAGTAAACGGATGAATTATTTTTGTCCTTTTAGAGATGACTGAACGGTCACTAGTTAGCCCGCTGTTGGTGACAAAATCCAGGGTCTTCTTAACAAAAATCTGTGTATGTTCGCTATGCGGTTCTCCCCTATCAGATGTAAGATGATGCTTTGAGACTGGTCTGCAACAATTCTCAGTTCATTGATCGGTAGTAGAGTGTTGGAATGTGTCAAATACTTCACTTATTTGGGGATTTGTATCAGCCCTAACAGGCTGGTTGGTGATGCAAACTCAGCTCGAACACACAAGACCTGTTTAACACTTGCCAACTTACGTCACCTATGGCACCGACTGGAGAAACATTCGACTATTCATCAAAAAATAGGTATACTGCGCTGCAGTCCGATCTGTCCCTTTGTACGCCTGTGAGATATGGCCGTTAGAGGTGAACGACGTGAAGTGATTGCGGGGTTCTGATCATAGATGTTTTTGTAGCATTGCTTGCTTTTGGTGGAATCAGCTTGTTAACATTGCTGAGATTAGGCGAAGGGTACTAGACAAGACAGACAAGATGATTGATAAGGTTGTGAAGCTTAGTTGATTGGGATAGATTGAACACATACTGATCATGCCCAGCCATCGCCTACCTTGATGTGACATGCTACGGAAAGTCATATTAGGATGTAAAAGGGTCCAGGGTGGCCACGTCAAGACATGGTACCAATAGACGAAATCCCTGACTTCTGACCTGAGACATGTGGGAAGATATTGGCTGGCTGGTTGGGGCCACCTAGATGGAAGGAATTGAAGGTTGAGGACACTTAGTGACATATGTTAAAATCGGTCACAGTGGGGCAGACTAATTCACCCCTAGACATCTAAAGCTTAGATATTCAAATTAACCTTTACCTTCAAACTGTCTACTCTCTCACATAACTTTCTCTACTTCGATATCACTCCTTTTCCATCCACCTGTTTTTTGTATGCTTCTGTGGAGTGTGACACCTTCAGCCGAACCACTGCTGTGCAAGGTTCTACACTGATTTCGTCAGTCAGTCTGTCAGAAACCCTACGTTACCTTACAGAACTCCTTTTCCACTTGCTCTCACAGATATGCACTTATTCAACGCAAACCATACCCACTTCTCATACTGATGATTGATAATGGCCAATGATAGAATCGTCGATGCGTGTTGGATGAATGCACCTGCTCCCACTGAGTGTTGTTCTTACTAGGATTCGAACTTAGATCCAATCGTGTGGAACGGCAGAGCGTTATTCATCAGGCCACTGAGTCACGACGGATACTTTATGCAATGGGTATATTCTAGTTAGCCTATCTATTTGATTTTTTCAATGATTTATAAACTCTAAAATCGATTTATAGGCGGTTGGCTTACATTATCCGATTCCACAAGTCGACTGGGTATCTGTTTCAATCTGTTAGGTACACCTTCAAAAATCCATTTCTAAACTCTCTAGGAGTGAATGACTGTATTTTGTTTGCGTGTGTCATTAGAAACAGAACAAGTTGGTAATTTCCTTCATGAAACGCTGAAATGAGCTTCTATGAACTGGTTTTTAACATTACTCCAAAGGAAAATGCCTTCTTAATGAATCATCTGACAAACTGAACAGTTAGATTGTGTTTATTTGCATAACTATTACTATACAGTATATCTGTCAGTGTAAGGTGAGGAGCTAGGTTAGCCTGTCGATGAATCCGCAGGAAATGCCGTCAGTATATTCAGCTTTTATCTACGATGAAAAGCTTGATAAAATATTTTGACCTCACTACTGTCATACTTTACTTCAGTTACTAGCGTTCACATTCTTCATTCTAACCCAAACCGTATTCTCATTTCAGGTTTATATAACTTTCGCTGTTTTTCTAATTCGTTTTATATTGTATTTAAAAATATTTTGAACATCTGTTTTGATGTTCTCTACGCTTTGTTACTTGTCCATCATTTTCCTTTGACCAGGTGAGATGAATAAACAATTTGTTTCCGCATCATCTATCTATTTTATCAAACTGGAATAATCGTCTAATGTCAGAGTAATTTCAACATTTTTTTGATCATCAGTAATCAATAAAATTCAGAAGGCCTAAAATTATAAGGATTTAGGTTGTGATTTATACACGATAGTTGTTTGTTGAATTTGGACACTGGTTATCTGTATATTAACATATAATCATCAGTCTAATCGACTTAATCATGACAACTCCTAGGCGTAACAGTTCTACGTTCGACCCCTGGTGGGGTTATGGATGTGTACTATTCTGGCATCCAATATCAGGATGAAACAACTGTTCAGTCCTTTCAGATCCTCAGTGGTTCTCAAATTGATGTCAGTCCGTTGTGAATACTACCATGAAACGATCCGACTCTCAGGAAGCTCCAAAAAGAATTTTATAGGAGGCGTATGTACTTAAGAACAAAGAAGTTAGTTCTGAGGATGTTATTTAGCCTGACGACGAAACGTTAGCCACAAATACCAAGACTCAGAGAACAACGAACTACCATCATTTTCATCCTGAGCTACAAATCTTTCCCATCATTTTCAAAGTTAACCTCTTTTGTAATTGCGAGAATCTATATTTTGTTTCATATAGACTCAGGATGAAAAAAACGTTGAGCTGATGTCCAAATGCCGTCTCAGTAATGGACACTATATGACTAGAAAAGGGAATGGACAACTTGTAGTGAACATCGATTTCATATAGTAAAGAGACCATTAGTCATTTTCCTACTTTGGATTACCAAATAGACTGAAATGTAGCATAATCAGTAGATCACTTAACAAAGAGTTGTTACCATTTCGACTATGTGGGTGAGATACCTGTAGTTTGGCAGACTAGTATTGATAGTGGGTGATGATTGAAGGCAAAATGAAAGTTTGGGCCATGGCAAATTCGAACCAGTAACTACTGGGTTTCTTGCCCAGCGCTTTGACAACTCAGCGTTATGTATGCTACTGGAGAAGTAGTTTGCTTATTTGTTACACTTCGGAGCTGAAATTTTAACCTGAAAGTTGAACATCTGAACAATATTTTGTTTTCATTAAAACAGCCAAATATGACAGGCGTAGTATTCAAAATTTAAAATTTTCCACCTTTCTTTGTCTGCTTAAATCGTTTGTAAGTAGTCAAACAATTATATAAAAATAAAGCAATAAACTCACTTGTTTTGATTTCAATAGTAGATCCTTTGTCTACATCCTTAAAAGTATACAAAAATGTGTTCGAAATAGTTTTCTGAATACCTGCTGCAAGTTTCACCGGCACTTTAGAATATTCAGCATAAATAGGTTGTGAACGATGAATATGACTTATGTTTATTTCACACGTTTGATTACCCCAATTAGCAGTACTGAATTGAAATGGTTTTGAAAACTGAAACAAAATATGCATCAAGCTTTTCAGGAGAAATATTCAAAATCCAATAGTGATATTATGTCAGACGCTTTAGAAAATTTTCCTCTGCCTTCTATATCTAAACTTTTGATATATCTCTGATATATCTCTTTCCTACTTACTGACTGGTGACTTTGTTCATATTGGCGTCGGGACAGATTCATGACTGTCATTCAACTACAACAGACCTCTGTATAGCTTTAAAAAGTCCATAATACCGTACCAAATATCGAAAGTCTGTTTAAATACCTTCCAGTTGAACGACCTGATTTTATTCAACATTCTGTAGTGTACATAAGAATCAGGGACTGAATGGAGTTTACTAATTGCTAGAAGTTGTTGGCATCGGATGTTTCAGCTACAAGAACTATGTTTTCAGTCTCAGCCAGAGGCAATTCTGACTTAATGATAAAGATTCATCCTATGGAATACTGTGTAAAACGCCAATAACTTAAGTTTTCTCATTTTCCATTAGGTGATAATTCATAACTCTACAGGTCCTAAAGTGGTTGATTTGATTGAAGAAAACAGGCACCATGGTATCATCAATAGTAAGATGACATTTTGATTGTCACCGTTGATGTTCACTAGCAAGAGGGGTCCAGATCTGTCAAAATTACCATTGTACATACTCCATCTAAGCCCAAATGATACATTTAAACAAGGTCATCACATATAGATGAATATTATGTCTTCATTCAGTAGATTTCTTAATGAAAGAAGACCATTTTAAACAATTTCTATGCTTAGACTGTAAATTAGCTTCCGATAGTATGATGCATTTCCTGTGTATTTTTTCATTCAATTAAGAGACCAAATAAATGATACAAAACAGAAGATAACCAAGAACTTTATTTGGGCGAAACAAAGGATTTATAAGAGAAGGCTCACTGAAGTATATCTAAAACAAACTAAAGTCTTATTTGTGAAGTATTGGATGTCCGTTTCTAATTTCACTTCTGTCTTACTGGATGACATCAGTAAATCTCATTCTCCATAATGAACTACCACTGTGATCTAACTCATGATTATTACTAGGTTTGGTTTAATAGTGTTTACTAATGAACAGGTCACATGTACTCGAGAGTGGGACAGCAGTTGGTTTAAGACCGTCTTAGAAGATTGAACGGATCACATGATCAGCTAATGAAATTAGTGATCATTGAACTATATCATGCAGGCTTCATCTCTACGGTCCTTGGGATGCCAAAAGAAAGTATTCGTAAAAAAATGGGTAGATAGCTGCATATCACACTTTTCAATAAATATTAGTAACGACATAACCTGTTTTGTTCAGTGTGAGATTTTACCGGGCACATTATATTATTCATTTTTATAGTTAGTTCTTCAACTTCTATATAAAAAAATGATGGCTTACCTGAACAACTATATATTTTTCTTCCTTGTGTCTTTGAAGTATAGGGAGTTCTTTACCAAAATCTTTCAAATTCTTCAGCTGATAAAGAGAAATTTCCTTGTCAACAGACCTGTGGACAATCGCATCATTCCATATTGGTAATTCTGTTCTGTGCTCCATATAAATAATCCCATTCCACAGTTGTATAGCACCATGCTTTTGAAATATTTTCTGTAGGACTTGTATGCGATCTTCCATTCTATTTATTTTACGACTTGGAAATCTCTTTAAGTTCATTAAATGAATTTCATGTCTCAAGCGTGAACTATGCCAAATGAAATTAAGTGGATTTGGAATTTCTAAAGTTAGCCATGTTTCAACGGTGTACAAGATTTTCGGAGAAGTATGTCGTACGTGGCACGTATAAGTTCCATTGTTTAGTTCGAATTCTGGGTTCAAAGTGAATTTTAACGTTTTTCCTGGAAAAAGTAGAAACACTTTAGTTACATTGAAGCAAAACTATTAGACACCGCTTGTTTACTTTTAAGAAGCTAGTAGTATAAAAGTTTTCAAAAAAGTTAACTGACTTTACCTTGTAAGCATATTTCAGTTGCATTCGAATGTCTGCCTGTATACAATTCACACCGGGCACCGAAATAATCAAGGCAGCTAGGATTGGAGTAGCAATTAACATTGCAGCAGTCAGGATCTGAAAATGACAATAGGATTAGAAAATCACCCAGATTAAAATTAGAGTAATTCGACTATGAAATCATTGAATGTTGACAACTGTTAAGACATTTTAGTGTTAGGTTTTTGTAGTATTCGCGTAGACCTCATACTGTTGCCACAATTTAGTCAGTTCCGACCACGATCGTTCTGATAATTATATGTGACGGAAATCTATTTTATTTGGAGTCCGTAAAGTTTGAACAACTGAGTAAATCCATTTTCCAAAATAATCAGAATTCCCTTTAAAGTAAGGAATAGGGACGCGTTATATACCACAAGCGCTTGCAAATATTTTATGAAGCCTAAATGTTCTTTATGCCTTACATATTTACCGAAACTCTAGGATATGCTTTTCTCGCATGAGCTGCTGAGAGTGCAGCAAGTGCATCAGAAGCTCGGCTCCATACAGAAAATATGGGAATAATATCCATCAATTCATGCTTTACGGACATAGATTATTTCGCGTATTTATGGATGACAGTTTTTCTCTTTACTGCTAGTAGCATTCGATGATTTACTTCACAGAAATCTGTATCTCAATATTGGGAGGTTAGTTGTATGAATATATGCAGCCGGCTTAAGCAACTGTCCACATAAAACAACTGTGTTTATAAGCTTTGAAGTTACACACATCAGCTGCAACTAAATGGATGAAGTCAGTTACAAAAACTATATAGTTTGTTTAAACAGATAGCTTTAATTATCTGCGTGATGGTTTCTTACGCTGTCATTTTATTGATTTGCATTCGTGTTATGTTCTAACTTGCAAGTGTCTAAAATGAGCACGAGTATTTCAGTAGTTTAGATTTCAGAATATAAAGTCACTTAACTGTCTAATTTGTGACCTGAAATTCCACTATCTATAAATCAGTTTTTAAGTATTTGGTACCAGATTTTTGCCTTAGTGACGATTATATTGAGACTCCTTTGTTTCGCTGACTATACTTTGAAGTTTGACGTGTTTTATTTGTCTAGTTAATAAACCAGCTAATCCTTATTTAAGAAAACTCTGAATGAAGACATCAGTTCTACATGAATATTTGGAACTGAAAGAATACTTCAAAACAGACTATCATACAACTAATAACTGCATACAGTTCAGACATTCTATCAACTGCTGTTTTTACATTTGTTCTCTTTCTCCAAGAAATACATAACAACCCTAATATTTTCATGGATTTACCCACAGTGAAAGAGGTTAATGCTCACTTGGGGGAAGCCTTGGCTTAAGTAAGGTCAGATAGCTTAATTTAAATGCTATCCGACTGATATTCTCTTTTCTTTCCATTCAATAAATTGTGGTCATCGTGGTGACTAACGGTGGAATCTAGGTTACGCGTTTCATCCTACTCTTGACTCGTCAGCTCAATTTACCTAAACCCTAGTGGATTATGTTTGTCAGGAAATTACAAATATCAAAACAAAAATTAACATGTGTAAAATTTTCCGTTAAACAATATATTTGAGTATTCTAGGTTGGAAGGAGTTGATAAGATACCATCGAAATAAGATGGATCCGTTCAGTCCTCCTACCATAGTTGTTCTTGCTCTTTTTATATGCAATCTATTGGTAGACCATGGTTAAAACCCGCTGTCACTCATTCACAGTACGTATTTAAATGATACTCACACTAAAGTAAATAGGCGTGTCTATCAGTTCACGTTCTCACAGTCGAAGAAAATATAACCTCAATAATAAGATCAGATCATGGTAAGTATTTAAATTTTCAATTTGTACCTGAATTCGTCACCGACGGACTGCAGAGTTAGCTGTCTACTACTGACCAAAGTCTGTCGGTCAACCCTGCAATCTGGATACTAAGTAAGATGGCTCAACAACAGAGTGACTTTAAAGACTATCCCATGTTGAAATCAAGTTTTGGTATTTCGGCTGAGAAGATGGTTTTTCATAAAAAAGAGAAACACAATCAATTATCTTAACAGTTCCTAAGGTCTTCTTTAAAGTCTCTCCGGTAATGTGAATGCATTAAATATTGGAGTCAGATGTTAGAAAAAATTGATAGGAACCTTTTCTCAACCTGGTTTCGTGCATGTCAATACTAATGAGCAAGACACATCTTCACTCATGTAGGAACTGTTATTCACTCGGTGATTTGAGCCCTGATCGACCGAGTAACCATTACTAATGTGATTATTATTATTGCTAATATGAAGACAAGGAAACAACCCACATACTTGATACAGCCCATGTATTCTGTACAATATCGTTAACCTGTAATAAGGTTTCACTAATCGCTTTGTCACCAAATTTGTAGTTGTTGACAATATCCCCATGGCTGCCAGTTACATCGTTTTGAACATGTTTCAAATTTGCTTCTGATTTCCCTTCTTGTTTGCTACTTCGACAGGATTGTTTCAAACATGTCTGACAGATACGACGTTGTGTATCACAGTGCATATCTTTTAAATATGACTGACTTTCAACAATTGTTTCCTGAAATAACTGGTTAACTAAAGGTGAATTGACTGTACAGTAAAAACTGTTCAACTGAGGAGGTAGATAAGAGGCTTTCTAAAACACATGAGAAAGAAAAAAGCCGCGAAAAACAAAAATAATACATGAAAACAATTGCAGAAAACAGGTGAAGTTGAAAACTGTTTTTTTTGTCAATATAACAAAACGGATGCATCATTCTTTGTCAAACAGGTAAGATACGATTCAGAATTCATGCAAAAATAATAATCCGAAGTATTATCAAGCTGTATGATAGCAAATATTCACCATTCTGAAAGACAAAATAGGTTCCATCAATACGGTTGTCACCAATATGGTGATAACATTCAATAAATTTATATTTTTCACTACATGTTAACCACAAGTTTTGTATGTGACAATGAAAACAGTGAAAAACAGTGAAATGTTAAGTGTAGTCTAGTAAGAAAGAAGCAGGTAGTCAATATCTTCTAATTCCTAACAAATTCATCCTTGCATATACGTCTGAGTATTGCTTCATGATGGACAGTTTCCCTCCTAGGTAAGACTACGAAATAGAATGATGCAGTTATGTTGATCCATAACTTTTCGAGAGTCTCATATGGCATAAAATGTTTGATTTCGTAGTACAGACAGGTACAAAACTAACGTTGAAACTCGCACACAGATGCATAGGTTCAAGCTGCCACATTTACAGTAGTATACAAAGAAAAGTGGCTACAATGCAAGCGATTTCAAGGTGGAAAAAATTGGGTGAGAGAATAAGATATTTGAAGATAAAGGTTAGTGAGAATATTAGAACTTTGGAAGACGCGAATCAGTGCATATATCAGAACCATCGTGGCCACTTTTTAGCCATCTCATCGAGGATCAGTCCTTAGCCACTGATTCTTTTCTTCTCGGGACTGTTGTCAGGCAGCCTACACCTCCCAACACGCCTCGGACCAACAGTCAGACTTCATGGTATACCCTTAACCCTCCTCCAAACTAATTCTACTTCCCCTAGGATGGCACATAGAAGTAGGTGGTGGATCGACATGCACAGTATATGTCCAATTCATCTCAGCAGACTAAGGTTCACAACCTCAGCTATCGACTAGCCCATACTGGTACCTAGTACCAGTACCCTATAACCCTTCACCTCATTTCGACATTCCTAACACGTTGATTCCACCAGACACAAGCGATGCTACGAAAACACGTGATTACAATCCTGTAATCACTTCATGTCTTCTACTTTTAGTGGCTGTCTCACACACGTACAATAAAAGACAATGGACTGCAGCATAGTATACTTGTCCTTTGATAGAAAGTCGGATATCTCCCATTTGGCACCACAGATAATGCAAGTCTTCAAATGTCAAACAGGCCTGTTGTATCCGAGCTGAGTCTGCATCAGCAACCAGTCCGTTCGCGTTGATGTAGCTCCTCAAGTAAGAGAAGTATCTGACATATTCCACCACTTCACTCCTTATCATTAGACTGGGAATGGTTGTAGACCAGTCCTACAGCATCATCTTACATTTGACAAGTACCAGTGAAACGCATGCAAAACATACTCAGATTTCTGCTCAACGTGTTTACGAGACCCTACATTTTGTCAGGGTTTTCACCTAGCAGGATAACGTCCTCTGCTTATTTCAAGTCAACCGAATGATGTCCAAGAATGAGATGAATCCCTAGGAAGTCAGACGTAATTAAGGTTGTGTTCATTGGTACGTCTATGACGAAGTTAGATAGGAACAGTGACAGTGGACATCCCCCTGGCGAACACCGTTAGTTGTCGTCAAACTCGTTTGGCAACTCTCCACAAGCCGTGATCTGACTGCATGAGTTCGCATAGAGGGCTTTTATAAGCACTATATACTCGCTCGATACTCCCGTTACAGTCAGGTACTGCCACAATACCTTACAGCCTACAGAATCAAATGATGCCTACAGGCCAAGAAATGTGACAAGCGTCGATCAGTGGCCGGTAAGTGTGTATATGTTTTAGAACCTATCGCAGGATGAAAATATGGTCGATGAACTCCTTTCCCATTCAGGCTTGAAACCTACGTAGTTTTCTGGAATCTGCCGTTCTCAAGCTCTGGTTAGGTATCGGATAACTAAAAACCCCAGTATCTTGGACAAACTATTAGGCTAACCAAATGTCATAGGGGGGCTTCTTTGACTTCTTAAAGGATGGAATGATCAGAGAAGTTGGCCAGACTCTATCAATTTAAGCAGCAATTTTCTACTTCCAACTTTGAAAACTGCAGGTGGAGAACTCTTAGGTCCTACTGCTATGCATCGTTTCAGGTTCAGTACCGTCTTCTCAACTTCAAGGAGAGTTAAAAGACAGACATATACATCGCATTCAGGTTCAACTTGAACGTGGGGGAAGTGAAGTGTTGTTGGGGACCAGATGACATGTACTTCAAAGTGTTCTGCATAACTTTTTAACCTCCTGTCCTGACAGAATATCAGCTTCCCGTCCTTTTCGGTGACGGTTTTATCAACCGTATTTTTCTTCTTACTGGTGCACACTAAAGATTTACACCAGTCAGTCATTTTGATGTAGCTTTGTGAATGTGACATAAATTATTACTGTACGAGTTTATGTGATGTAGTGAGTCTGAAGTATAAGTTTCCCAAAGACAAAATGAAGAGATCATATTTTTGGTTTCATTTGTCGCTTCTTCGACTACACTAAGAATTAGAAAAAATTAGAAATAATAGCTAGGGAGAAAATGAATATTTTGACAGATTTGATTAGAAGAATGCTTGAATAGAAAGAATGAAACAGCTATTGGATAAAAGTTTTATTGGGGGTGATGAAACGGATGGAAGATACAGTGTTTACTGTTTATTATTATCTATTATTTACTGTTTATTATTCAGCTCAGACTAGATCAGTGCATTCAATAATTTTCAGATCCAGTGTGATACATTTCAAAATTAAAGTCACTGACGTAAATCCTAAATGAAGTTGATTTCACTCTTCACAAAAACGGGACTTTCCTAAATTTTGCAAGCATGGTACTCTTGCGACCGTCAACAAGGTTGAAGTCCTGCTAAACAGAGTTATCTGCTGATTGTTTTCGTGTGTTAGCTTTGAAATGTAATTCACTGAGATGTTAAAGTACTTAACTTGTTGACTGGAAACAACTTGTTCTCTGACACAGGGATTTAATTTGGACACGTTCCGGTATTATGTTAGATATCTTCATGAGTGCATCAGTTCTCCTGAATTTAACCAAACAATATAAATGGAATGTCTAGTAAAAAACTAATCACGGCAAATCCATGAATCAGTTGGACACATCCATCCTTGAATAAAAATGAATCAACTAATCAAATAAAGACAACCTTAATCAGTTCAGTCGAACAGATACAATGAAGCGACCCTAATGTACTGCAAACAAACAAAAGGGTTCAACTAATTGCATAACTTCACACTCCTTTGATAAAACTAAAGATGTCAAGTAGTCAGGTTCAGCATACGCCAAAACACTCACTTAGCGACCAGTAAGGTTAAACTTAAGTAAAATAACACACTAGGAATATCAGTTCATGACCAATTTTTTCATTTGCTTGCAATGCTCTGAGGCACTAATAAGGATGTGTAGAATGACATTTATACACATGTCAAATAAAATCCTAACTCATAAGACAATTCGGATCAAACATCCACACCTTGAGCAATAAATATTCTTCGTGGTTTCATGGGGTTGTATTATTACTGAACTTTGGGTAAGATATTGTCACTTACACCCAAATTAGTATGTTTGATAATGATTATAATAGATAGCGCTTGTAAGGATTTCAAAAAACGGACTATGAATATTGCTTATTTTATGGGGACAGCTCTACGACTGCACAAGTGACAGTGGATCCCATATATATAATGATACAGTTTTTGTTCTTCAGGTAGCTGAAGCAAACATATCTCAATACAGTGAATCTGACAAACTGTAGTGGATCATTCGCTTCTTCGATTGTCTAGATGTTTACTTTGAAGGCTGATTGCCAAGTTCTTGCATTCAGCTTCCAAGCATCCAGCTTAATTTGAGAAACCACTAAAGAAACATCACTAAGAAGAAATCTTGTGCGGTGATTAGACCATTTGTCACATTTCATCAATAAATATCACTGTCTTCCTCAGAGATGGAATCAGTGGTGACCAGAGAACCTAAAAATCACCTGATTTATATTATTCCATACAATTCTTTCGCTTCACAAAATTAGGTAGAGCAAGAGCAACAGCTTTAGCAGAATAGCATGGATCCTTTTTTCGTTCATGGTTTCTCATCAGCTGCTTACAACCTAAAACAATTTCAACATCAATTTATGCAGAATGTTTGCATACTTAAATTAGTTTAACAGAAACTGTTAGCTTGAATTAAAGATACCAATGGTATAAAGTTACTGAAAACACAAATTGAGTGCATAAATATACTGAAATGAATTTACCAACAAATAGAAGGTTTAGAGGAGTATTCCAGAGCAGAAGTTTGATTAAGAGGGGGAGATAAATGAATTCAACATTTTGAGAAACGTTGCACAAAGTGGAACGACTTTAAAGTTCACCCTAGCAAAAACGGAAGTAACCAATCAGGCTTCTTTATTTTATGAAAATCTGTCTTTCTAGCCAAAATGAAGAAACCCAGTTGGCTATTACATTCGTTGCTAGGGTGGCCTCTAAAGTCACCCCACAAAATGTTTGAAGAGTCATATGATTTATGCTAAGTATGAGCTAATGTGAGTAGGATTCAGATAATTAGGTCATGGGTGTAAAATGTAAAATAACAATGCTAGTTGATGACGTAAAGGTTGAATGATGACATCTAATCGATTTCAGCCATTCCAGCAACCAAACAATAATTTTTAGATTGTCTATAGAATTTGCTCAAATACCTCACCTTTCCTCCATCTCCAGCTTTTAAAAACAGTAGAGGCCTTCACTATCCACGAAATGAAGCCTGACCCTCGCGTGCAAACAAAGTATATACAGCATTTGTCTATATCTTGGTCTTAGCCTATCTCAGTTTGGTTTATAGCGTTCCCTTTTTTTAAATTCTGCTTTAGTTAGACTA